ACAGAATCTGATAAAATGCCATACTTCTATTTTTTCCTTTCCTTTCTTTCTTTCTTCTTTGCTTTTTCCTTTTCCTACGTTTATTTGACTTTTTTTTGTAATTTTCTCCAATTCCTCTTTTATCCTGAACGGTCACAGGCTTTGGTAACCGGATTGATTTTATTCCTATTTGCTCATATGTGTTGTAATCCTGCCCGACAGTTCTTGCTTAATGTAGAAACCAAGCAGAGGTTCTGCTTAGGCCGGGCTTCATTTCCAGTCATCTGACACAGCTCAGCTCTCAGCCCCGCTGCGGTGCTCACAGAGCCCTCTACCTGCGGCCACACCATCCCGCGCTCATTCCAGGCCCTGGAAGGCCTGCCAAGGAATGAGACCTGCAGTGAGGTGGCCTGCCTTCTTTCCAAACTCCTTGGAATGGAAGATAACTCACTGAGGCCCTGTCCTTCCTCCCTCAGACCCTACACCCAGTGCCCACCCAGGAACATAGAGTGGGATTGTCCCAATCCAGAAATGGGAGGTACCCAGACGGGGAGACCACCTTCCTAGGAGAGAGCCACTTCTTCAGCTGGTGGAGAGCCATCTCCTCCCCAGAATGGCCTGCACACGGATTAGAAGAATCGAATTGCCATTATACTGGAAAACTTTAAGAGGTTGCTGCTCAGGACAACTGAGCAGAGTTTTCTCCCTTAAAACACACTCGAACTGACTGGTGTTGAAAACCACCATCAACCAAGGCAATGGATATGACAGACTTCATGTCTGCAGCAATCTGGCCTGAGATCTTCCAGGCAAGTGTGTAGACATCTTGGTTATGTGGTTTGCAGATCATTTCGAATGACCTATAGACTCAGAGACTATTCCCCAGGAGAGCTGATCTGTTACAGGTGGTGATGGTTCTGCTGGATACATTGACTGGTAAATTTCAAAACAAGAAAATTAGTACAGGGGACCCATCTTACACATTGGTTTGGCTGCTAAAATATTGTAGGTATGATATATATTGCTGCAAATTGTGGCCATCACAAGGAATACTTCTCTAAATCTTTTGTAAAGCAAATGCAGTGAACATTTGATCACCTATCTCTTCAGTCAATCCTTACTTTAACCACATACTTGTCATCACTATTGCAATGCATACAAAAGCAAGGATGAGGTGGGAAAAGTGAAACAAGTATGCGTATCAATTTTTATCAATTATCTTATTTTGTTGTTGAAAGTAGTTTTGGGGCTGGAAATCCTGAGAATTACTTCAGTGTGCCATTTTGAAAATGCATGGGTGACATATTTCAAGCCCTTGTTTCAGAGTTTCCTTTCTTCTATTTTTTTTTCTTTCCCCTTTTAGCACTACATACCAGGTCAAGAAATCCTGGGATTCCTGCTTGTGAAAAGGCAAAACGTGATATAAATTGAGATGCCCCTTAAACTACATAGCATCAACACATCCAGCACCACAGGGAGGATCTGCTCTATCTTTGTCCTCAACCTGAGAACATATGGTTTCCATTCTGTCCCTATTCCTGGGCTTAAAATTCACCATTATTGGGGTTGGCATGTGGCCTAGTGGTTAAGTGGTTGTTTGGGATGCCTGAGTCCCATATCAGAGAGCGTGGGTTCCAGTCTCAGCTCCCCTCCCTGTTCTGGTTTTCTGTTAATGCAGCTCTTAGGAGACAGCAGATGGTAAGTCAAGTAGTTGGGTCCCTGCCACCTGGGGTGGGAGACCTGGATTGAATTCCTGGCCATTGTGGGTATTTGGTAAATGAATCATTGGCTGGGAGCTATCTGTCCATCTCTGTTTCTCTCTGTCTTTCAATAAACAAAATAAATAATTTTCTAAAAATTGAAAACAAATTTTCCATTAGCTTACTCGGACTTTCCTTTCCGAAGGGCAAAAATGACAAGTTCTTTGATTTAACTCTTTGTATTCAAAACTATATGAACATACTAACATAGATAAGCAACTACAGCAAGCATTTCAAACCTCTTTGAATTTCAATGCAGTAACTAATTTTAATAGTAAAAAACCCAAACAAGTGAGCATTTCACATATTCATAGAAAAAGAAAAATATTGGTTCATTATTATAACTTTATTTTTTTTGTATTTGACAGAGTTAGACACTGAGAGAGGGAGACAGAGAGAAAGGTCTTCCTTCCGTTGGTTCACTCCCCAAATGGCCGCTACAGTTGGCGCTGCGCCGATCAGAAGCCAGGAGCCAGGTGCTTCTTCCTGGTCTCCCATGCGGGTGCAGGGCCCAAGCACTTGGGCCATCCTCCACTGCCTTCCCGGGTCACAGCAGAGAGCTGGACTGGAAGAGGAGCAACCGAGACTAGAACCCAGTGGCCATATGGGATGCCGGCGCCACAGGCGGAGGATTAACCAAGTGAGCCACGGCGCCCGCCCCATTTATAACTTTATTTTATGAGCATTTTCCTTCAAAGTCCTCAGATTTTATGTAGTTCTCCTGGCCAATTCAACATAAACCATCTTCTTGCTAGATGAAAATAATTATGCTAATGCACCACAAATGATAAGAAGATGAATAAGCTACAATGACTGACTTGAGGAGCCCAGGCTCCAATGGAGGAGACATGCAAGCTACAGATGATCATACATCTTAGAATTAAATTGTTGCCACAGCAGAGAAAATGAGCAATGACTCCAACTTAGAAAATTAAGATGTCTTTGCAGTGGAGGAAAATTTGTATTGCTCTATAAGAACTGAGAATAACCTTGGCTCAACAGTGAGAAGAAAGGCTTTCAGACTGGGAGGTTTCATCGAATACTTCAGTTAATGATCGATTTGTAAGCATACCATTTTAACCATAGCTTCTGACAATTAGCTGTTAAAGGCAACTACATTTTCTTCACTTAGATATTTCAAAACAAAGAAGCCTTTTAAAGAGATTTAGATTTTTCTTTCTTTTTCTAACTTCTAAGTGAGAATACAATTATCTAAGTCAGTTAGTCTTTCTTAACAAACTAGGTTGCCAAATCTGTTTAAATTATGTGGTTTTTTGTGCCTTTTTATCTTAGATTTCAACTGAAAAATGTGAGTTCAGCTTCAGTACTGATAAATGAAAACCTGATCTTATTATCATGAAACATATTTTAATGTTGCCCTCTGGTTCTCATTTCCGTTTGCTCACAGCCATTTATTTTTCATTCCCCTTTAAAGTTTCTATTTAAGCACACCTCTTTGTCATATGCTGATAAATATTAAAATAACAGGAAAAATCTGCCTGGCTTATTTAAGCTGATAATAAGAACAAAACACGGGATGTGTGTCTCCTCCTTCCTTTTCTGACTGTGGTTAAACGTTAAAAAGATTTTGAAACCTGTAATTACGTAATAGTTGGTATCACTGCATTCTCTTCCCAATCAAAAGTCAGAATTTTTGTTGTTTTCTGCAAAGACGGATGAAAACAAATTGCCTAGATGGTATTGTCATTTCTTACTCCATTGTTTTAAAAGAATTTAGCAAAAGAGCCTTGAGTTGCCAAGCTGTAGTTACTTTGCCAATAATCACAAAACAATCTTCCCAACAGCATCTTTGGCTAATGAGCTAATTTATAGAACCATAAATATCACATCTTCTAACGTTTGTCAGTGTTTATTACAAGAAAAAGAAAACATCATCTTTATATTCAAATTGAAGTCGCAAGCATCTTAGCAAATTTGGCTAGTGGGACTGTCAGCATCAGTGCCTCACTGGCAGGCCAATTTTATGAAATGATAGGAGTTTCAAAACCAGCTCCTTTGATCTCCAAGTATATAACACCAGTTATCCCTTAAAGCACTCTATTTTGTTTCCTTTTAGAAAACTTCAAAAGGAAATAGCGCATCCAGCACAGCAGGTTTCTGAGGTCCATGGAGAGAGTACTACTTCTTTCTACTTCGTATGATAGGGCTCTCGAGTAAACTCGCCTTTACTTAATGGGTTTCTTTCACTTTTATTCTTGTCCTCAATCTTTGCCATATAAAAATATTCTAAAAAGTGTATACCATAAATACTTCAGAAGCCAAGAGGCAATGGAATCCACTGTCTTTGTTCTCCTGTTTTAGAAGTGGGGTTTCTCTCATTTTTTCCCGGTAGTATGTATGGCCACGATTCTGGCAGAAGAATTCAACAGCCCAGTGAGGCAGATCACAAGTCTAAAGTGAAGGGAACAGCACTGCTGGACACAGAGAAGTGTACCAGGCAACACTAGACGTTAGGTGATTTTGGTACACGTTTGTGTTAATTGCTTCTTCTGTCAATTTGCTTCTGAAATCTACTGCTGCAACAGGGGGACAGGTTCAAGGGAGAGAACTCCATTTGGACTTTAAAATGTCATGTGCATTCTATATCAAGAAGAATTTGTGTTCAACACTTCTCCATGGCATTCTTCAGGGTGGCCTTTCCTGTCCTCAGCTCTCAACGTTTCATGGCAAGTGGATGCATGGTCCTGAAAGATGGGAGGTTAGGGTCTTTTAAAAAAACACCTCTGAGAAACAGAGTTGGATGACCTCCAAGAGAAATGATTGGAAACCTGGAAAGAATCTTGGGTTTCACACCTGGAAAGGATGTAGATTCAAGTGGGATCTTTGGTTGACGGTAAAAGGATAACCGCTAACAAACCCTTGGGGGCCATCAGGCCAATGTGGGCCACCTCGGGGTCTTTGAGGTTAGCGCTCCTGGAGTTCACTGGGGCCAGCAAGCTGAGGTCAAGTTGCACTACCAACACAGCTCCCTTCTGCTCCTCTTCTGGGAAGCAGCCTTACCACACATTTGTTACGTTCTGAAAGCCTGGGCAAGCCACAGGCAAATTAATCTAACTCTGCTTTCACTTGGTTTCACATGGAATGAAGCAAAGCTCCAGTATGCCTTTGACAAAAGTCACCAAGAGACATACTTTCAAGGGCCATCGTCTGCAAACATAGGTTATTATTCCGAAAGAGTTTACAACAAGAGGCATATTTGTGATTCTGAAACATCGAGATGGACCTCGTGGCAAGGCCTACCTTGCAGGCTGGCTCTGGAGACAGGAGTCTGACTAGCCGCTGGGGACCTCCTGTGGAGACAGACAAGAGAAGGACTGAGTCTGTGTGTCCCAACCCCAGCCCCCCGAGATCACTGAGGAGTTTTCCAGGCCACAGTGAGCTACCAGGTGACATCACGCTATGTCCGGAAGGCAGGCTGCTGTAACACGGGCAGATGACTGCAATTCTCTCACTTCCAGATGGCCTGGAATCTCCCTCACAGACTCAGGATGTGCCAACTCTCCAGGAAGGAAATTGTTTACTCCAGGTCCCTAGCCAGCCCCTCTGTTTCAGGTTTTGCTGTTCCAGGCGACCCTTGGAAGAAGAGACCCTGATTCAGGCACCCTCTCCGCAAGTCAGGGTGAGTCCTATTCTCTCTGGGCACTGCCATAGAAAAGATAAAGCCAGAGGGACCCAGGGTTCAGGATTTGCTTTTTTTTTTTACACCTCAAGAAATTGAGAACCAGAGATGTGTAGTCACTTGCCAGAGGTCACACAGCCACAGGGAAGAGTGATTCATCTTGCTTAACTTAGGAAACAGTCTTTTCCTAGAGGAACCGGGTTTTATATGCATCATAACAAGCCTGTGGATGTGAAGAATCAAGTGCATCAAGTAAACAAGCCCACACTCTACTAATACGGGGGCTCCTCCTCCTTGCCTTATTTCTCTTTCTTCACACCTCCCCGCACCCTCAGTTTTGCTGCTCTCACCATCCTTCCCATGCTTTGCAGGACCTTGTGCGCTACATTCTCTCAGACTCCCAGTGCATGGCGGGAGAATCCCCCAGTGAGCATTCTAGAGCACCTCAAATTGCATCAGAATCACCGGAAAGACTAAATGGCAATGGATTGCTAGGCCTTAATGCCATCCCCCTAGTGTCTGATTCAGTTGACCTGGAGTAAGCTTGAGCATCTGTGTTTATAGTAAGTTTTCAGGTGGTGCTGATGCTGCAGGACTGGGGTCTGCATCCTCAGAACCACTGGTATGAAGGATGCTCTGCCCCACAAGGAGCCACAGGATATTAGAAATGAGCAGGAGAGTGAGACCTCGGGCCAGTGGTTCTCAAACACAAGCAAGCATCAGGTTCACTTGGGGAGCTATTTACTTTCAGTGTTTGGAAAGAAACTTGGGGATCTATGCTTTTTTTACTCCTCTGTGAATTCCCATGCACAGGCAAGTTTGAGAAATAAATCACATTTTAAGTGACAGAGAAAGGCCTGAAATGATGTTGCTAAGAAATCTTCATATGGTTTGGCCACATAATTATGTTCCAAGGTTTCAAGTACTCCAGATCAATACCTGATCTCTTCATATTAGTCTAGCTTCCAGGTAACAAGAACATCCAGGTAACAAGAACTTATGGCTGTAGACTCAAAGGACAGGTTTCATATCCATCATTAATTTACTAACAGGTTGATCCTAGGCAGGGTTCTTTTAAACTCTTTGTGGCATGAACTTTTTATGTGTGACAAGGGAAAGGAAATGATAATCTAGTGATTGCTGTCCTGTGCTAGTCATTGTGCCGAGCACTCCTGACTTTCCCTGGGAGTAGCAGCATCTTATTTTCAGGAAAAGGAAAGTGCAGCTCAGAGTTTAGAGAGATACTGAAGCAAACATGGTTTATAACCAGCATGGCCAAGATTCGCAGGTAAGTCTGTCTGAATCTTAAATGAATGATTTTCCCCATTATACCATAGATTGATAACCTCTGCACTAATACCAAGGGTTGTTTTTCAGGAAATCTAAGAGATTAAATTTGAAACTCCTTAGCCTGGCATTCAAAGTCCTTTACTCTCTGGCCTCCAGGCACTTACTCCCTTTTCTCCGTCAGAATTCTTCCTGACATTTCTTCTCAAACCACTGATTGATTGTGTGTTCTCATGAATCTTGATCTTCTCCTGTAGGCACTTTACAATTGCAATTAAAATAAGTCTAACTAGTGTTCAATATATTACTCCTTCGATTGAATGTAAGTTTTATGTGGGCAGGAAGCAATTTGGTCACTACTGCGTCTCCGGCACCCAAGATAGGTTCTCATAAGCCAAGCACTTTTAAGTATTTATTGAATGGGATTATAAACAAATGAATAAATGTGTGCATGAGGGCAAGAACTGACTCACTCTGCCAAGGCCCAACTTGATCACATCTTGTTTCCTTGGACACATGCTGCCCTTTTCCTGCCATTACTCACTAATATCACCTACCCTTCCATGGTGCATTGCTAGTTTGTCCAAAGGATGCCATACGTTCAGCTTAAAAGTACCCCTCCTCAAATCTCTCATGGTATTCTATTTGTACCCTCTGGACATTTTTCCATGTTACAAAGCTTATGGGCACATGTTTTGCCATCACTACTCTGACTCTTTCATAGCAGGATCCAGTTCTGATCCCCCACTCAACTTGCCTGGTAAACAGGAGGAACTCCAAATATGTGCACGAGGTTAAGGGATAGGAGGAACCAAATGCTTGACATGATGGTTTTTTTTTTAAGATTTATTTTATTATTTGAAATAGTTAGAGGGAGAGAAAAATCTTCCAACCGCTGGTTCACTCCCCAAATGGCAGCAACAGCTGGAGCTGGGGCTGGGGCTGGCTGTGCCAAACCTAAGGCAGGAGCCAGGAGTTTCTTCAGTGTCTCCCACATGGGAACAGGGGCCCAAACACCTGGGCCATCTTCTGCAGCTTTCCCATTATTCAGATAAATAAACTGAGTCTTATAGAAGTAACTTATGAGAGACTGACGTGGGTTCCCAACTCAATTCCATTCAACAGTGCTAGCTGGGAGCTAGATCAGAAGTGGAGCAGCTAAGACTTGAACCAGCGCCCATAGGGGATACTAGCATCTCAGGAGTTGGCTTTATCTGTTATGCTACAACACTGGCCCTGATATGAATGTTTGATTTGATTCCCTTTCCACATACGGTCTTGGTTCTACACACTGCTCACTGTTCCCTGAACACAGGATGCTCTCTTGTTGCTGTGCCTTTGCATACATTTTGCTCAGTTGAAAACTTTTCTCCTTCTTTTAAAGTGACTGATGCTTTCACATGTCCCGGGACTGCACATAGTCATCACCTCCTCAGCAGAGCCTTCTGCCCTGTTTGTGGCCTGCACCTGTGCTATGCAATTTCCTATGCTTCTCCCAACATGCACTCCTCACACCATATTACAATTCCCATTTTCCTGTCTCCTCAACTCACCTGTGGAAATGTAACCTAAAACTGAGTCATGCTGGTAGCCCTGGAACTAGCATAATATTTGGTTTGATGTAGGTATTGAATATATATATGCAATGGTTTAACCACATATTTTCAATAATTTTATTTTGTAGCTTTTCCCAAAGCAAGTTTTGTATGAAAGGAGATACTGAATTCAGAGACCACAAATATTGAAAGTTTCCACTTTCTTTGTACCATGGCTATTCACATCATTCAATTATCTCAATTACTTCTTGGAAATGACATGTATTAGAAAAACTCTGTAGTCCAGATGTTAATTTTCAAAATATGACTTTGTTTAGAGTTGCTAATTGAGAAAAGTACCTCTGTATGTGAGCTCTGGAAAGGCAGGACCATGAGTATTAGGTTTATCACTTATTATGGATGCCTGCTGCAAAAAAGAGACTCAACACATTTCAAATGCATGAGTGGCCTTTGGAAACCACATTGTTTTTAGGGCATGAGGGTGTCAAATATAAAACTGTAAAGAGTGTCAAAGGAAAGCAGTATTGGTTGCCCCCTTTCCTATAGTCCCTAACTTATAGAAAAGGAATAAGGAGTGATCTGCCTGCGTGCTGCAGATAGCGACAGGAATTGTGAGGATGATGTGGCCATAGAAGTTGCTACTTTCCATCTTTGATTAGCACAGTGGAGAAAGAACTGGACTATGAGTAAGAAGACAGGAATCTTACTCCTTGGCTCTGACACCTCCCAACTGTTCAGCCTTAGGCAGCTCATTGAACTTCTTAGTTTCTTCCTCTCTTGGGGAGAGAAGGCAGCAACTAAGATTTACTGCTGATTTACAATGTGCCAGGTCCTGTGTGGGGGGTTTGACTTATATTTCCCTACTTACTTTGAGGAAATTTGGCCAGGCTCTTTCCAGCTCTGAATGCTCAAGATTTTACGATTCTCAGCTAATTTAAATCCCATGCCAAAGTACATAAAGCAATGAAAGACACTTCAGATATATACTGAAAGAAAATTAAGTGGTTATTAATTCTTTCCCAAAGAGTACATGCAGGTTGACTAAATTATGCTCGGGCAGAATGTTAAAACAAAGATGTTACATGATTTCCTGATAGCCACAGGTGCTGTTCCTGATGTTGGTGAGAGCAGGTCGAATGATAAAGGAGGCTGTGCCTTTGCTCCCAGCCCATTCTCTGGTTACAGACTGCTGCGTGGTGAGCATTCCCACTCACACAACCTGACTTACTCCACCAGTCGGTTGGAGGCCAGTGAATGCTTAAGGAATGCTTATATGAATTAACAATTCTAAACGAAAGCCATATTTTCAAATTCACTTCTGTGACAAAGGAAATGGGGGTTTTCATTTGCAGCCAAAAAGCACAGGCCCAATCAAGCCTCCCTCAGTGGGACACTTCATGGAGGTGCAAGGAAACCACCTCAACAGGAATTTTGAGATTTTCACCCTTTGTGTGGTAAAGCTCAGGCAGACAATGGACTGCTTGCATGCCAAGTAAAGAGCCAAAGATAAAAGAAATGTTAACTCATGCAAAGTATAGTTCTATGTGGGAGTTCCTTTACATGTAATAAACCGTACTATCTGGATGTCTCATGAAAACCACTCCAAGGACGTAATTATCTCTTAAATGTTACAGTCAAGGCAGAGGAGTGGTATGCTGGAACCCAAGTCAAATATCCCAGAAAGCAAAGTCTGAGATCCACAAATCTTACAGTCCCAGTTGCCAAGATAAGTCAATATCTAGCAGAATGGGGCAGGGGCTGCTCTCTGTAGGCTGCATCCCCTCCTGGCAGATACTCTAACTTCAGTTCCTTCCAGTAGATTTCCCATACTTGTCTGAGGACATTGACTATCTAGGAACAGAATGGAGGGAATTAAGCATACCCTCTGTTTTCCAACCTGCCCCTGTCAGACTGTTCCATCTGTGGCTGAAACCTATCCTCCAATCCTCAGCCTGAACTAGAGTGAGGCCCCTTTAGCTGCCCCTGGTGACGTCTGGTGCTGAATGTGTGCTGATTTTGATTTGTGGGTAATGTTGGCTCCGAGGAAGTATTTGTCATCAGTAATAGGATCCACTGTACAAATGTGGGTATGGATTTCAGCAAGATCATTAGAGACAAATCCCTCAGTGTTGGATACGTGTGGTTGGCTTTGACCAGAGGTGACTAAAGGGGTCACAGTGTGAGAATGCACTGTGGATCTCTTCTGTCTAGAGGAATCACGGTCAGAGGGCACAAAGTTCCTGAAAGTCCATGTGTTCTGCAACACCGCATTACGGAAACACCGGATTCTTAAGAATGTGATTTGAGCTGACGCAAGACTACTAAGCAGTATGATTAGACTGCATGCCCCAGAAGTACTACTGAGGAGGAACACTCAAATTCATGCTGACAAGAGAAGCACCTGCCCTGACCAGCGTTCTCATTGGAGCTATGCAGTAGTGGTTCGGAGACAGTCCATGCTAACAAGGCCTTTGGGCTCTGTCGTTACTCACCCCATCCTCCCATTCCCACCTCCATCATTGTGGTCTGGAACTTCACTCTCACGTTTTACTTCCTGAAGACATTTTTAATGTCCCTGCCTTCATCTATTCCCTTTGTTCTTCTTACAAAGGTCTTTCAGGATGTCAGGTTTCACTATGGCTCTATTGCTCACTGAAAACAGTATGGCGGACACAATCAATGAATCTCCCTAAACTTTGTTTGCTTATCCCCAGAATGCAGTTAACAATACCTGTCAGGAACATTGCTTATGGTGATTGTAACTGAACTGATGAATTTGAAAACCCTAAAGTGTTAGATTCCTTCTCTTGAATGTTAACTCTGACTCCTTGATTTATTCAAGAAATCAAGAAAAAGGTAACTATCAATTCTGATAGCTCACATTTACTCTACTGGATCCTATTTTAAGTGCTTTGCAAGTATCAATCCCTCTAATCCAAACAACAGCCCTATTTTACAGATTAGCAAACTGAGTTACTGAGAAGGTAATTAACTTGCTCGACTATATAGTTTAAAAGTGGTAAAACTGAACCTGTAAGTATGGGTCCAGAGGCCATATTCTGTAAGGAAAAAAAAAAGTGGGTATAGAAAAGGTATCACTCCTAAGAAACACACTTTCCTAAATGATTGGTAGTTCTTTCAATACTTTTTTATTTAGAAATTCACAGGTCTGATGAATATGTAGAGAGTTCAAACTACATGTCACGTATTCTACAAATAAACACATGTCTTGCTCCTAAGGGGCACACAGTCTACTGTGGACAGGAATCCATAAAAGATTGTGGAGAGGTTGGCAGAGTGCTCCGGGGCCAAATGAAGCCCATTCAGCCAAGCTTGGTGGGGTCAGGGAAAACACCTTGTGAACATGATAATTGAGATGAGTCACAAAGACAATCAGGATTTGGCTAAGCAGAGGTTGGCAGGTGGAAAGAGAAATTTTAGAAAGACAGAACAGTAAGTCCATAATTTGGATGGAGAAGAGAACATGTAGAGAACAACCAGAACATGGTTGTTGAAAATAATCTTTTGTAGCTACAGACCTGGCCTGATATTCACCACCATATACCCAGGTACTTCCTATTAGAATGTTGCAGAGAACTTGTCTACCTGTCCATTTTGGTCACTATTATATTACTAGTTCTTGGTATATTGTAGCTGTTCCGAAAATATTTGTTTAATGCATACATGCATGCATAAATGAATAGCACATACTAAACAAATACTTGTGAGGTGAATTAATTAATAAATGAATAACAGGAGTAACCACTTCAAAAGAAGCTGAGACAAGCTTCTAGTTTTCATACACAGGTTGACTGTTCTTTATCTGAAGGGTTTGGGCTGATAGTACTTTAGACTTTGGATTTCCTTTCATGCAGGAGTATTTGAACATATACAATGAGATATTTTGGGATTAAGACCCAAATCTAAACATGACATTCATATGTGTTTCATATATACCTTATGCAAAATGGTCTGAAAATAGCTTTGTACAGTATTTTTCATGCATCTTCATTTTGACTGTGATCTGTCACATGAGGTCAGTGTGGAATTTTCCACTTGTGGTATCATATCAGTGTTCAACATCTTTGGATTTTGGATTTTAGAGAATTTTGGGTCAGGAATTCTCTGTGCATTGCATCAAATATAATCAAATATAATATAATGCACTATTAATCAAATCAACTGGAACTGGGTCATGAGCTGCCTTGGGTGTCAGACTTCAGCATTTAAACTTTATCTTACTAATAAGGGTGGACTGCTTCAGTGCTGTGAGCCTGAGAGTGACACGGTTAAACAACATGGTAGAAAGTTCACTGGGATTGAAGTTTGAACAATAGTTTAGAGCAGGAGATACCAGTCCAATGGTATGTCACAAGAATGCTTAGTGCCCAGTTATAGGATGGTGAAAAAAAGAAGTAAGCATTCAAAGCAGGGTGCACTCCCACTTTTAACAAGCTCACTCTATCAAAATTTGAATGTAGCAAAATAGAGGACTGATTAACAATTCACAGATGTGAAGGGATAGGTTACTCCATAGTGGGCATTGGCTGATAAATCAGGAGATTGAGGTTTGGGCCCCCATGGGTTTCTAACTTATGGTACGGTTGTAAGCCAATTTCTGGGTTCCTGAGGGCTAGAGTTTTTCCTCCTGTAAAATGAGGAGGTTGAATCAATGTGTCAAAAGACCTTCTCCATCCCTCCCAGGATCATGTATTCTATGGCCCTACGACCCCTACTATGATCTTTTCACATGCAGCAGCATGAACTGTGTAGCACTTGGGTTAGGTTTCATAGCTTAGAACTGTTTTGGAGGAGACATTTACTGCAGACGATGTCAAGTTCCAACCCTTTATGTTACAAATGAAGAGACTGAAGATCAGCAATGCCAACAGAAATGAAAAAGGTCATACATTTGGGGGCAGAGGAGAAGACAATCCCTCTCTTACTCCTCAAACTGCATAAACCTGTTTATATGTGACAAAAAATATGCACCTTGGAGTTGAACTTTTTGGTACCCTTAATTTTAATTTTAAATTTCTGAATTCATTAATAACTTATTCAAGAAGAATTGTAATAGAATTTGTGTTCAATAATGGCCAACATGGCAAATATAAAAGTCAACAACAATAAAATCCTAATCTCATTCTTTCATTTGTTTAACTCTTATTGTGTTCAAAATGTTAAGAGTATAATGATTAATAAGTTCCAGACTAGATAATTCCTAATGCCTTACCAGTTTTAAAACAATATAGATGCTCCATTCTGTTTTCATTGTGTATCCTAGCTGGAGGACAAATCTCTATTCAATGTTGGGTTGTTTCTGTTCTTTCAATGCTGTTCAACCTCTTTTGCCATTATGGAAGGGGTTCCTAACCCTGCCCAAGGTCAATGCTTACTTGTTGGATGTTCCATGAAGATTTGTCAGCAGAGTGAAGTTGTTTCTAACACTTCGCAAGCTGGCAAGGACCTATAAAGAAAATGTTTCAAATAGTTAGGGACAAACAGAGGATGCAAGTGGCCAGTTTCAGAAACCACACTTAGAAACCACACCAAGAGACAGAGTGAGAGCAAGCCAGGGCCATCATGATACACACCTGAGCAAAAGGAGTTACAATCAAGTCATCGCCGTGTCTGGGGAAAAAGAGAAGACAACACTTAAAGATGCACTTGAATTATAACTGTAACTTATAAACTGTAATATTACACTTTACCAATGTTAGCAGCCTAAAAGTTAGCAAGTCTTTTTATCTGAATATAAGAAAGGACTCAACAATTAGGCATAAATGGGGATCCTGAGAGCTTGAAAGAAAAAATACCAGGTTCATGACTCCTGGATTTGCAGTGACTACACATAAAAGCCTTTGTAAGTAAGCATATATCCTCAGGGTATAGTCCCATTAAATAGCAGACCCAGAGTGCTGTAATTCAAAGCGACTTGTGGATTTTGGTTGCCAGAGCCAGGAAATTCAAAGGGAGGGCTGCTCACAGGCACACACAGAGTTGGAAAAAATGGTATAACAGTCTGGATAAAGGTTAACTTTGGATTTCCTGGCTTTTGTTGATTTGAACCACAGCTTTAATGCCATTTAAACACAGATTTCTGTCTGGGAATCCCATTACTTTTTGTTTTTAATATAACTTTTTTCTTAAAGTACCCAAGAAAAGCTTTTGATGGGAGTGTACGGACTGAGCCTACTACAACATGCTGTTGCCACTCATTTTGTTCCTAAGAGCTGATTAAGCTGTACCCAGTGTTATATAAATGTGTTTTCAGAAGTGTACTCATTCTTCCTTCCATGGCATATACCTCAGTAAACCTACTTAAGCCCACCTCCGGCAAGCTCTCTAGTCGAGATATTAGAAGACATGTTGGCTTGTGCTGCAGTCAGACAATCAGGCCAATTTTCTATCATGATGTGAAATATTAACAGCAGCACAGAATCTGGTGGACAATGACCTTTCTTTGCTCTCTGGTCTGTCTTCTCTGTCCTCAAAGTTGCCACATAAATATGGTACCTTATTCATCAGCTACAATGAGGGCAACCAATAATTATTAAGCATCTGCCCTGTAACAGACCTTATATGAGGCCAGGAAATCCACGTTCAACAATACACAACCCTCTGGACCTTTTCTCTAATTTAGGCATTTGACATGGGGCCTTTTTTAATGGTTAATTTAATTTTTCACCTACTTGAAAGGCAGCACAAGAGAGAAAGAGAGACAGAGACAGAGACCTTCCATCTACTGGTTCAACTCCCCAAATGCCCACAAAAGCCAGTGTTGAGCAAGGCCAAGACCAGGAGTATGCAACTCAATCCAGGCCTCCCGGATGGGTGGCAAGAACTCAAGTACTTTGACCATCATTCGCTACTGCCAGGATGCATTAGCAGAAAGCTGTATCAGTAGCAGAGGATCAGGGACTTTGGTACTGGCACTCTGAAATGGGATGCAGGCATTCCTGAGTGGTTGCTTAACTTGCTGTACCACAATGTTTACCCAGGGTCTCACCTAATGCAATATTTCCCTTTCCATCTTTGTCTATATAGCTAGAATTCCTCCTTCAGTTTAATCAAGCAAACCTTTGTGTGCTTACTTTGTGTGATAATACAAAGAAGGCCATGTGATTGTATGTCAGACCCTGTGCTGAGCACTTTATGTAGATTGTTGCTGAATTCTTGCAACGAGGGCGGGAGGTGGATACTCTTAATATTCTCATTTTGAGATGATGTCAAGCCTCAGAGCAGTTACACAGCTGCTTAGTTAGCACATAAACAACAAGTGAAAGACAGCCTGTTTGATGTGCCCAAATCTGTGTTTTTAAATACTATGCTTCCTATTTTATGCTGATACGACATAGCTGACAAAGCCAATTATACAAATTTCAAGATTTTTCAAATTAAAACATAATTGGAGAGACATAAATATTCAAAAAATCTTTAGTAGGCATTATAAATATAGAATGAAAAATACAAACAATGGATACTTGGGGGGTAGGGGAAGAGGTTAATTTAAGGTTAGAGGAGTAGGAAAGGCTTGAGTGAGTGAGTGGTGTTTGAGATGAACTTCAAAGGGCCAAGTTTAAAAAGGCAGGAATATCAGTTGCTACCAATGAGAAAAACAGTAGAACAAAGACACACAAATAGGAAAGATCTTGAGCATGATCATTGAGACGCTTGGTGTCTCTTCGGGTGGAACTGAGCATATTAAATGTAGATGTTTGTAGAGGAAGAGCCTAGAGTATCTCCCACACCTACAGTATCTCCCACACCTACAGTAAGGACAATCTAGACAGAGATTATGGAATTGTGCTTAATTCTGTAGGCAGATACCAGCTAGTGAAAGATTTTAGAGAGATGGGATGTGAGATAAACAAGCAGGGAAAATTTTCAGAAATTAAAATGCTATATCAGATTAACCTGCAGTAATAATATGCGTAAAAGTACTTGGTAAGTATTTTATGATTGGGATGAGCTTCTAGTGACACAGTAGTTCTCAACTGGGGTTGATTTTCCCTGCCAGGGACATTTGTCAATATGAAGAAAATTTGATTATCATAATTAGAGGGCTAAGGAGCTGCTACTGAAATCTCGTACATAGAGGTCAGGATGCTACTAAATATCCTACAGTGTACCTGATGACCCCCAATGATAAAGAATGACTCTGGCCCAAATATTAATAGTGCCAATATTGAGAAACTATAGTAAGGGTGGGACGATGGCTTATAGAAGGCATTAGAAGAATCCTGAAATATACAAACATATCTCTAATTAAGGTGTTTTGTTTTTCTTGCTTAGTGTTAAAGATTAGCAGGTTGCTTTTTAAAATATTTTATTCATTTTATTCTTTAATATTCCTCTAGAGACATATTCTAAACTTTACTTTTCTTCCCCAACTAATGAGCATTTACACTGTCCTCAATTTTTCACCTTTACAAAAAGGCTATACTTTTAGGTCTCCTTTTCCACATGTGCAAGTGTGTTTTTTTTAACTTTTATTTAATGAATATAAATTTCCAAAGTACAGCTTATGGATTACAATGGCTCCCTCCCCCATAACTTCCCTCCCACCCGCAACCCTCCCCTTTCCCTCTCCCTCCCCACTTCCATTCACATCAAGATTCATTTTCAATTCTCTTTATACCAACTTAGAGAAGAGAGAAGAGCGAGGTTTAGCATAGGCGGGGGGGGGGTAAATGTTTCAACAGTTTGCACCCACATAGAAACACAAAGTGAAAAATGCTGTTTGAGTACTAGTTATAGCATTAAATCACAATGTAAAGCACATTAAGGACAGAGATCCTACATGAGGAGTAAGTGCACAGTGACTCCTGTTGTTGACTTAACAAATTGACACTCTTGTTTATGGCATCAGTAATCACCCTAGGCTCTTGTCATGAGTCGCCAAGGCTATGGAAGCCTTTTGAGTTCGCTGATTTTGATCTTATTTAGACAAGGTCATGGTCAAAGTGGAAGTTCTCTCCTCCCTTCAGAGAAAGGTACCTCCTTCTTTGATGACCTGTTCTTTTCACTGGGATCTCACTTGCGGAGATCTTTCATTTAGGTTTTTTTTTTGTTTTGTTTTGTTTTTTGTTTTTTTGTTTTGTTTTGTTTTGTTTTGTTTTGTTTTTTTTTCCCCCAGAGTGTTTTGGCTTTCCATGCCTGTAATACTCTCATGGACTTTTCAGCCAGATCCGCGTGCCTTAAGGGCTGATTCTGAGGCCAGAGTGCTGTTTAGGATATCTGCCATTCTATGAGTCTGCTGCGTATCTCGCTTCCTATGTTGGGTCATTCTCTCCCTTTTTGATTCTATCAGCTAGTATTAGCAGACACTAGTCTTGTTTATGTGCTCCCTTTGGCTCTTAGTCCTATCATTATGATCAATTGTGAACAGAAATTGATCACCGGGACTAGTGAGATGACATTGGTACATGCCACCTTGATGGGATTGAATTGGAATCCCCTGGTATGTTTCTAACTCTACCATTTGAGGTAAGTCAGCTTGAGCATGTCCCGAATGGTGCACTTACTATTAATTAAAAAAACTTTTTTTTGAAAGAAGAGAGTAAAATGCTATGGATGTCAGGGGTGAATTGGAGAGGGGAGAAATCCAGAAGGAACAGTTAGGAGGACACTGAACTGATTCAGGTGATAAGAGGAATAGGTAAGGCCAAGAAAGGAAGAGGAGGAGACAATTGAAGGCACCCTGGAGGTCTTCCCAGAACCTCTCATTTAACTGTACAAGTGATACAAAGAAATAGTGTTTTCCATTTAAAAAATAGATAACAGAAAAATGCAAGTCCATGACAGAAATAAAAGTAAGGAGGAATTGGGGGATTTTTAAGGCTTCCTTGAGTTTTTGAGGTACATGTTGAGTTTTAAGGTACTTATATGGACATCTAGGTTGAGAGATCAGGCAGGAAGACTGAGATATGGGGATGAGAGCCATTGATTCAGGAGTTATCTACAGAAGTAGGGATAATGAAGGCAATGACAGGGATTGGCTTCCTTAGGTGGCAGTATATATAGATGTGAGTCCAGGTAAGAAAGCTGGGGTCTTGAAAAGTGGCCAGTAGGGGTGACAGAACAAAGAATGAAGAGAGAAGTCATGATCGATGCAGTGTGATGAATGTCAAAAGCTCTTCCTTCCTCATCTATTTTCTTTAAATGGATTCTGAGATGAGTGAAAGATCTTGCTGTTTGCTGATATCTGTGATGTGAAGTTCCAGGTAATGAATTTACAGTTAAGTAGGTCTTCTATGCTTCCAGGACTTCTGGAGTTTAAATATCTAATGAAAGAGAAATAATACAAGCAAACTTATACATCTGTAGTGCCTGGAGCTGATGTACTGTTGAATGAATTACACAAACTAATGATTAAAGAGAGGCAAGAAAACACAAGGGGCAATGTGACTTTAGCACTACAGCACTTCTTAATTTTAGGAGAGCAGAACATTCAGAAGCAAGAAATGGATTTATAGATTCCCAGCACTGGCTGCCTTAATTGATTTGAGCTGCAACAGCTAATGCAGTTTGTCAGATAACAGCTGCTAGAGACATTACCAAATAACTTGTGGTAAATATTAGAAAAGAAACAAAACACAAATAAAACACCTGTTTGAGTACAGCCAGAT